TGCCAGGACCTACATCAGTTCCTTGCAGCGGTTACACAAATAGAGGCTTGGAAATGGACGGCACGCGAATATAAAAAATACCTCAAGCCAGATACGTTATCATATGGTCGTTTGGCAAATGGACAGAGAAAAACGAAGGTAAGGAATAGCAGGAACTATGTAGGTCTGCCATAGGAACAGCACCACGATAAACGCACCTACTAAGAAAGGGTCGGTAACGCTGGGGAGGAAAGGCCACGTCACCGGAGGCATACGAACTAACACGAATGGGTGCAAAAAAATGGCTGTATATAGAACCGAGCCACATTGTAACTATATGCGGTACAGTGGTGAAAGCAGTACGAGAAACTGCTGACGAGGGTCAAAGGCAGCCAATCGCGCAAAGTCTGTGCGTGACTTGGGAAGGGGCCCTCGAACTAGTAAGAGTCTGGGATGAGGGTCGGAAAGAAAAACGCTATGAAAATTTGTTAGAGATTGTCATATCAGTAACACACAACAACACCATATGAAGATTTTCCGCTGTTAACGGCATGTGACCATATAGGCCAGACCGCGTACCTTATTTCATACGTTCTCGCTATTGAATGAGAGTAAGCCAAAGTCAAACAAACGCTTGCGACACGAAGTCATTGTCCGGCCGATCGTGACGATGATTTATGGAAAAGTACGAGTGCAACATTGGCCTGTATCTCTATACAGCATTTTTGATTATGCAAAAATGCAAGTACTATGTATAATACTAAAGGGGAGAACGGAAACTGCAGGATTATCCCCTAGGACTACGGATTCAAATATTATTTTTGTATAGAATATGACTCATAACGTTGTAGTTGTGCGCTTGATTCACCCTCGTGCAAGCTCATTATATCTGATTGAGCTGAGGTTAAAAAGCGTTCAGAGACGACCTCCGGCATCACGTGGCTCGGCGTGCCGTTGTGCGACAATAATGGCAGCGTGGGGTTCCCTTCACAGTAACACCAGTAATGCATTCATAGCACAGCTATAGCGCGCAAGCTCATCCCTGCAATCCATCTTCAAGATACTAGCGAAAACCTTAACAGCTAGTGAATTTTACTTTTTAGCTTTAACAGCGTACTAGCGACATAACGGAGTGTGTCGCTTGCCCTGTTTTTATATATAAACAACTCCACGGTTAACATTAAGCGTCTGTTGAAACTCACATGTCATTTCCTACTTTGTGGTCCCTTTAACATGCAATCACAGACATAACAACGCAACTACGCCCCTTTTGCCCTCCCCAGTCATTTCTCTTGTACCCTGTTCTTCAAACAGGCCATACGTGGCCTCAAAATTTTGACATGATGATCCGGAATGTATCTCATCGTCGTCTCGCGCTGTTTTAGCGATTCACAAGGGATCATGATGGACGAATTTCCTTTGTATGAGTGCAAATCTAAAAAATATAACATGCAAATGAAATACAGAAAAGGAGAATTTCTATTAATGCTATGCGTCTCTGCATCGATGCTAGCGTCTAGTGTTCCATGTTTAGTTTTTCCATTTGTATGTTAACTTTCGCTCGGTTCATCTAGCTCATTGCTTCCGGTGTTATGCCATCATTTCCGCTCATCGAAATCATCATTCGTCAAAATTGATTTCGCTATGGTTAAGGTAGTGATGTTGCGTAAATCCGATTGGAATTTTGAAAATCAGACCGAAAGGAAAAATGCTCTACGGACCTGAAAAAGAAACGTTGAGTTTCATCGTTCAGCATAACAACATGGGTCGCTCCTTTTTCTGTTTCTTCTTTTGGCCTTCCAAGTTCCTGAATACTGTCATTCACTTTTAGCATTTCGACTCAGAGACTCCAAGCCATAGCTGAGGACCTTTGGGTCTCGGAAGGATCCAGGACTCCTACATACTCTGCCATAGCAGCACTGTCCGTTGTGCTCTTGTCGCCAGGTAGGATATCTTATCGCAGTTGGCCTCTATCAATAACCAAAATTCCAATTTCACAGGCAATCATCGAAAGATAAAAGCAACATTTTAAAGGCTTGCAGATTGATTTACTCGCAGATTTGGTTTCAACGACAGCCTTTCGGAACCGCCATAGCCGTTGCCATTAACGTGACACAAGTAGAAGAAAAGGGAAAAACAACATATGTTATATATTCCTGGTACTTTCCAGACGATTTCTTATACACTGAACGAAAGTCGACGAGAGATTATTTGACAAATACCTGTCCACACTTGTATAAAGTTTAGGGAAATTGGACAAGCTATAGTGATTTGCTACTTGGTAGGCAAAAGTCTTTACCAACTCCGCCCGAAGCGGCCCTCTCTGCTGTTTTCCTCCTGCCCCTTTCCACTCTGCGTCTACCATTGTACAACCAATTCGTTAGCAGACAAGCTAAGCTATGGAGGCTTTTACGGGCCCTGTTCGCAAAAGTTGCATCTCGTAGGCCAGGGCATATGCTGTCGCTTAAATGACAGGCAGCAGCGATCAGCGGTCGCTTCAAAACTACTAGGAAAAGACGAACTCTTTATCTGTATCATTCACCTCGTTCCGATTAGCCCGACAAACTTCTAGATCAAAACATGCTCGCCATCGACAAGACGGATCGCATAGCGATATAATGGTTTTAAAGGGTTTCGACGAATGGCCAGAACCGGCATGCACCGAAACCGAGCTCTGCCATTCTACATCGCTTTTCAATGGACGTGCTCTTGTATATGTAAGCATATACGATGCATGCACTAGCAGTTGTACTGCTTAATCGTTCTGTACATTGAACGTGTGTAAACAATAAACGTATCGCTTATACAGTGTGCGCGTACCGTAAACAGTCATGTACATATACTATGATATAGAATGGACGTTTTTCCCGTACAAGAAAGCTTTCTTGTTCATCCCACCCGTAGGGCCCACAAAAATCTCAGACACTTGTATTCACTCTTAATGTAGCATGCATCCAGAGTGAAGTCAGCAGCGGTAGCGTCTTACTAAGCCACCGAGGCAGAGCAAGAGGTCACGCCGAAGTTCAATACCAGAAGATCCCCGGTTCAAATCACGTGCACATTGATGCCGATACTGTACAATAAGTAAATACACATTTTTTGCTGTTGACTGTTCTTTTTTTTTAGTTGAGCTAAGATTATAGCAGTTGACTCATAGCAAACGGAATCTTTTCACGAATGAATTATTATATGACGGTAATTCTCTCACAGAGAGTGGCTTTTCCATAAGATACGGAGGCGTAAGTTAAGAACGTCCAAAAATTATCCAAAAAAGCGTAAGAAATCATCTAAAAGTAGTCAGACGCCATAGTCGCTTTTGGAAAGAACTCATAGCGGCACACCAATAATGGCGCGATATGATTGTTTCGCTTCTGTTGTCGTGCCAACAACTGAGAGACTAACACAAGTAGTACGTGGTCAAGACAATTGTTGTGAGCCCTACTTCCGTACCATATCAGGCGAGCGGGGGACGGGACAATGTTGTGTGGACGAGGGACAGTTAAGGAGGAGGCAAAGAAGTGGACTGCTGACAATTCCCTACCCATTCGTGCTCCCCTTCTGCATTAGCTCCTCAATCGTTGAACCCTCACTGTTATATTCTTCGAGCGTACGACCGTAAAATGTCTCTTGAGCCAGCGTGAGCGAAAAAATGCCTAAGTAGGAAATTTAACTTTAAAGTCATAATTTCCTCTTAGAGAAGGCCTCATGAGTCCCTTCGAAGATGGAAGCCATCCGGCCTGCCGGCTTGAACCTGCACTGCTCCGTGGCAACCTAGAGCGTTTGTTGGGGATGAGTGAGAAGTGGCGTACGAAAATATAAGCGAAGTGGCTGAGGCCGTATCACCTCTAGCTTAACCGCACTCCACAGCAGCGCAGAGCATGTTTCGGCATAAAAGAACGGGCTTTTCGGTGAGGTTCATGGGTCTACTCGTCCATTATCCATGTCCATGGCCGACATTTGGCTCTCCAAACTGATGCTTCGTTTCGGCGCCATTGCGGGCTTTTCGTGGATTTAAAATCGTAATTTACACACAACAGAGCTGGTGGCTACTGCCTATCACTATGTGCAAAGAGCCCTTTCGATGTCGACGAACAGACAGGCCGATTATAGCAATGTGAAATTTCATCAGACACAAAGAAAAGCAGAGTAGCACGTTCTTAACTAGTCGAAGCAACAAATAAATATAGGTCAATCATGGTTAGAAATCACATTTGAAACAAAAGATGACGTTGCTCCCATAGCGGTCTGTTGGAAGAAATACGCGTAGGCGGGAGCGTCGAACTGCAAACAAACACTCTGAAGTTATTCCTGACCGGAGTGTGGAAGACAAATTTTCCCATATTGCTGCGTCGCTCATAACGAACTGGAACCGGCTAGTAGAGGGATCTCTACTTGGCATTGTGACCATGATTGCTGATCTGTCAGTGTTGACCTCGGGGTCACAAGTGCTGTCTCGTACTTCTGACAAATGGTCTCGAATATGATTAGCAGGCAATATTATACAATGCTTATGGACATGCCCGTAGTTATGTCACAACCGCAAATAACATCGCCGCTTGACAAATCAGGACGCTAGGGAACGGCTAGTGACAGCTGTGAACCAGAAAGAAATAGGTACTCTCAATAGTTATCAGAGCTTATTGCTACAAATTGAGCTTAGCAGTCTCAATTGAGTATATCCTTCTGATGACTTGAAAGCCAATAAAATTTGGGTCGAAGAACAAAAAACCATTTGACGAAGCTAATAGATGAAGACAACTCGACCCGCTCGACATTGCAGCGTTTGCGAGATGTCGTTAGCCTCAATAGGTAAACACGCTCATAAGCAATTAGATATAGCAAACACAACATATCAAAAGCCCTGTATAACCATAATGATCGTGAGTTACACCGAGACCGAAACATGTTAACGTAAAGATAGCGATGTTTGTCAGTTGTTCGTTATCCGTAACTAGGTTTTAACAAGAGCCCACGTAAAAAAAACAAGGTAAATTACAACCAACTGTAATAATATTTATTTTCGCCCTTCGCCAGTTTTTCCAGAAACCAGCTCCACCTGTTGAACTCGAAGTCTTCTGCTACCGATCGATCCGGAACCTGTGCAAAAAAAATCGTAAATAAATTGCGGCTCAGTTTTACATCGTATTTGATGTTCAATTATTAATAAAACATTTTCAAAACAAGTAAAACTGAGGAACAGAGCAAACAATCGACTCGAATTTAAATAGCTGGAATTAACACAATTACAGACCTGAGTCCGAGGCAACGGGTAAGTCGAGTGCCGCCCTAAAAACACACATCCATACGAAGTGGGTGCAGGTTAAAGCAATTTCCTAATATTTATCTTTTGCTATTATTGAACGACCTGCCCAGTGAGCTTTTTCCCATATCATCGCGCAGTTGATAATCCATTCAATGGAAGGAAAAAACAATCAACAGTCGCGTACAATATAGTCCGGCTCGCCAATACCACAGTCCGATACTATATTAAAAGTAATCGTCCGGACAGTATCCAATGAGCAGTCGAAAAGTCGTGCAATTCGTTTAACGTCCTTTTGAGAGGTGGCCATTTCGTGGACTTTTTGGTTTAGAGATCCACTATTCACGGGCATAAAGAACTTCGCAGTAATTTGTACTGGGGTCATCATATCGAATAAAGCAGTCGTTTGGAACACCTTGCAACCAACACAAAAATGCATATTGCATTTAGCTATGCACTAACGGTGGCAAAGAAATCGTTCTGTAGTGAAGTACGCTTTCTGCGGAATTTTTACCTGTAGAATTACTACTTTTAGCCACGTCTTTGAAGTATTTATTCGAAGCAAGCAGTCTATTGTAGCATACACCCGTAAGAAGTCTGGAGGGAAGAAAACGAGCTTTTGGTGGGATCTCATAAATCAAGTCGAAAGCTGAACGAGAATAGAAATACATAGTCAGATCACGTGCTTTAATCTCAAAAGCAAGTACAAGAAGATGAGCAAAGCGTAGAACAAGAAGCGTCGGAAACTTCCGAACTTTCGAATGCAAAAGAAGATGAAAGCAGGAAGGCGAACCGTCGCGACGGGTCCACTATATATAAAATAAAAGTGAAACAAAAACGACTTTAAAGAAAATCAAAGTCAAGGACGTTGTCTGGTTCGAGGCTAGAGGCCTCAGTTTCCTTATTATTTTAGGGTGTGTTTTAGGTTAGTTTAAGTGAATTTGGGGGAACGCGTACAAGAGAGATCTATGATAGCTGGCAAAAGCTGTTAAGAAACGGACCCAGAAACTGAACAATTCGGTGATACGTAGCAGTACAGAGTGGCAGTGGTAATAAATGTCTGATCGAGCAAAAACAAGACTAAGAATCGTCGAGATTTTATCCGTCGACAAAAAAAAGAGCTGCCTGCCAAGCGCTGCCGAAGCTATCCGCTGCCCGCCGTTTCCCATTCGTGCATTTTTTTGACCATTCGAATGACTTGATGGCGCCAGAAATTAATTCTGTTCGGCTTCGTCTTAAAAATTCCCGCGCTCCATTTCATCCTTCCACCCTCATACTTCTTTTTTAGCTACTCGTCATGGTTGTCGTATTACCTGACCTCCCAACGCTACCATCATTAGGACCCCAGAAGCTGTTTACGTCGAATTAGAGGACGTCGCTATCGAAAGTCAGAGAACCACCGCGATGTCGTACGTGTGAGATGAAAAGGATGACTCCACCGTCGAATGGAGGTATGCTACAGCTGAAACTCCAACAGCTCTAACTTCCTCGGCCGGATTGACATATTTCTCCTAAATCGTCGGGCAAAATTAGTGGGTGGCTGTGGTGTTAGGAACGACGGTCGTAGGGGGAGACAGTGGCCAGATTCATCTTACCTACATCTCTGGGCATTAATGAGCCCTGTATGCCGCAGTTGCTGCGGCGACGGCAGTCGACCAACCATGCTCTCCTGAAAGTCTTTGTAGTTCAAGTTAATCTGAAACAGATCGAGGAGGCAATGAATGAGGATCAAGAGATGAGTCGAATGAAAAATGTAGTTCATCACTGCTCCGGGAAAGGTCTCTTTTCTTTGTTTTCGAACGAAAAATGACCTGTTGCTTGATACAGAAAAGATCTAGAAGCTGACACACACATACTCGAATAAAAGGGGTATGGCGGAAAATTTGTACTGCATTGCCGTATTATTCGGGAAGAAGTTACTGATAGCCCCAGCATAAATACCCGTCAAAGTCAAAAAGGTTGGTAATTATCAAAATATTATATATTTATTATTATTATTATTATATAATATTAAGTGTGCCCTTCCGCTGTTACTCAATACATTTCATATATACAGCCATATCCTTATAGGAACGACTGCACAATTTCCGATTATAGTTATATTTCGGAGTACTCGCTCAACAGTTGATGGGTGACAGATATCGTTTCTGGCCGCTGATGAGGCTTGCAAAACTTCGCCTCAGGCCATCCGCTTATAACAAAGCAAAGCTAAATTATGCCTACTCAGATACTGCTAATAGTAGTGTTAATACTCCGTTGTTAATTCATATTCCCTTATGTTTACTCTGTTACATAACTTCTGTCGCCGTTATTCTCAGTGTTTATAAATCATAGGACGCTAATAGAATGGCTATTGTTTATATCTTGCGATAATCGATTCCTTGTACATATTTTCTGTAGTAGCTGAGAATGGCCCAAGAAGTTTGTTTGCGTAATGTCTATCGTCACTGTCGTCGATGCCCTTAATCGTTCGGCTCATTCTGTCTTCCGCTATCAGTTGCTTCCACTATTCTATTCCGCGTAAGGTCTTTTTTACCAAGCGGCTTTTCGCATGTAACGGCTGCCGACAGCCTCTAGGATGCATTGTGATGGACGATATATGGGGGCCAATAATAAGCAGGTTTGTGCTGTAACAAAGCTTCGCTACGGCGGACGGTTTAACGCAAGGATAAGTTCATTCATATGAACGAGATAAACAAACAATCACTTATTACTTTATCAGAGTGGCAAAATCCGATAATGCACATGAAGCGAGTAATTGTCCTGGCACTAATAGCTGAAAGCTGATGGAGTAGGTCCCGGACACCTACAAATGCCGGTTGTCGTCATTGTCACGTATTATGTGATTTCGGGTATCCTCGTTGTCTAATTAACACTGGACGAGACGACATTGCCCACAAAAGCAGGCAGCAGCTTCCGATCGCTATCCCTAACCGTGATTGTCGCTTCCCTCCGCTCCCCTCTTACATATCGTTCACCGTTTTGGTATTACACGCAAAACTCGTTTGTTTTATGCTTATTTATTCATACGCATAATTATTCAGATTACGCCGTTATCTGGCCGCTGAGGTCGACAATTTTGAGAACGACGACCAAGCGTGACGGCAGCTGCGACATTTCCGGTAAGCGTAGCCTGCCAACTGGAATGACTACCCGCAACCTCTATCACTAGCAACGTTAGTTAATATTGGTCAAGAACAATGACCTGGTCTCAGGATTCACACACCCAGACAGACACAAGCAGTCATGTTGAAATGCTGATATATCTAATAAAGCTTAAACTTTGTCATAACAGTATAGAAAATGCTAAACATCTGCATTATGTAATGTAGCTCTTTTACCGCTAACGATTTCCATAGAAGGCATTTTACAGAATTTTCATCTACTCTATGGCTTCGTAGTATTAGTTGACTTTATTTCCACAGCCCAAAATAAATAAGGTGACTACACAATTTTAACATTATTATTATCATCACTTCGGAAGTGTACAAACACTTAAAAGTCTGTACATCAATGTTTCTCAGTAATTATTCTTAGTAAAAGATACGTCAAAAAATTTGCGTGTTATTCCCCATCAATCGGTGCGCACATGTGCATAATACATTACTATGTACATAGAGTATGTATAGAGCACAATTACACATAAGGTTACAACTATCGAATGCTATCTATGCACAAGTATCAGAGCTATGAACGCATTAAAACGATGTCGCGCCACCGTCTCCGAAGCAGGCATTGCCAGTTCAGTGGGTAGACGCCTGTCCTTCATTCAGGTTCACGCTCATACCTCTTTGTGGGCTGAATGAATCTTGTGATACTCTGAGGAATCTAAGCGCCCCAGAGCACCTCTCGTAACCGCTGGGGCCTCGGCAGCACATAACACCCTTTGCTGTTTCCACCCGCACAACCACCCCATAGAACTCTGCGTTCGAGCGCGCCTGACCGATCGTTAGCCTTACGACCCGTGACCTCTGCTCAGTTCAAGGTGATCACCCAGAATTTGAAAGCCGCGTCGACCGTTATCAATCTCACTAAAAGGGCTAAAAGAACATAAAGGGTTGTACTCTCCTGCATAATCGCCAATACGCGTGCCCCGAACTGTATGTGCGCATGTTCCGACGCCAGCAGCATCACTGCGGCGGCTTAAGCGCGTGGTAGCATTTTGGTGTTGGTCTTTCGCTGTCACAAGTTTTTTTCTGCCCACGCAACCCTTTAAGCAGACGGAGGCCCCTGCTGGCCTCACAAACCCAGAACGGGGCTAGACGGTCACCGTGTCGATCATACTCCTAGGGAGAGAGCAGCTTAGCTCGGCGCGGTTCGATACATCACAGCGATAGCTATCGCCTTTCGGTCGGACGGTACTAGTATGGTAGTAAGGAAGTCCGGCAGTCACATAGTGTGTAAAGTAGGCTCACTCCATGACGGCGAGTGTGTTTTCAACATGCATATCGGTGATACAGAGAGGGTGCACGGCCTGAGATTGACGAGCAGGCTAGGAACAATTATACACAATTTACTTGCTCATTTTTGTTTAATTAAGTTAAACGTTAGTTACGAGGATACTACATAAACATAATAAATGCCATAACTGTTTTGACTAGAACCCGTGAACATCCGAATCTTCTGAAGTAAAGAAGGATTGTACTGAAGGAAAACTCAGAGAATTCGTAAAAGATAAAAAAAAAGAGGTCTTAAGAACTGGTAGTACAATACCCCAATCTGTTTTGCCTGTCGCAGGAGTGATTAGCGTATTGGGTATTAGCTATGTAGCACCTCAATTAGATGAAATCCACAATAGTTTTTTCACGCGTCTTTACAAATAGGCCACGACATTCCGGATACTGAAGTGCGTCAACTATGCGATAACATCTTCGCCATCTACTCTCCACTTGATCGTTTCGCTCAATTATGATTACCTAAATTAAATTTGTGTTAACAGCTTTAGATTTATCACTAGTTAAATTGTAAACAGTTAAGCCTTGTCCCAATCAGTTGGCTACAAAATGCCTTCTTCTATTTACACGGGTCGTATAGTGTGTGTTTGAAGTGGTTATACACTGTAAATTTGTGTAGATCTTATCTGAGCTTGTTCCTTTATGGAGTGCATCGCTGAATTATAAATATTTCTATACATGTATTAGATTTAAAAACAGATGCTATTAAACAACTTCAGCACTTCCTATGCAACTGAAATATATTTTCTTCTAAATAGGGAAGGCCAATAACCTCCTATTTTATATAATCTATAGTGACAAACCAACCGGAAACCCTTAAACTTATGATTAAACTTGTAGAGAGGGACAGCCACGAAGTCTCTTCGGTAAATTTAAGAAAAAAATTTACTAATATAAAGGTTGGATCAACCTGCCTCCAATTTGCGACTACATATTTATTATAAACACTGCGAGTTAGGAACAAGCTCGATGAAAACTGTGCCTTTTAGACCTTCATCCTGTCCAAGATTAGTGTCAACAAAAAATACTACCCAATCCGTGTCGAAGACGACAGAGTGAAACTCCTAATTCAGTATCCATGTCATATTGGTTCAGATCAAAGATAACCATGACACTTACCATCAATACCAACAAATTAGTTTAACAATAATAATTATTAAAAACAAACTTGTGCTTATATAATATTAACGACAGAGTAAATGTTACGATGACCGTAAGCGCAGCTAATTTTGAAATATTAGAAAACAATAGAAAAATTACTTCGGTATGTAACTTTAATGTTGAACGTTGGGGAACTTTTAGCATGCTGGTTTGGATGTAGACGTTACGAGAAACGATACCATGAACAGAAATGGTGTTCACTCATGGAAATCAATGTTTCAAGATTCGACCGGCAAGAATCGGTGTATTTTGTATGGCTAGAGTTATGATAACGCCTAGTGCAGCATCAGCCTACGAATACCGGAGACGGAACCCGTTCCTTATACCCTCCTCGATACGCTGATGGCGTCGAACGCGTTTACTGACTATAGCCCGTTTAGAGAGGCTGCATACGTTATAATCGTCCTCGTATAATTACTAACGAATTGGTAAGGAAGTTACAGCTGATTAATAGAAATCTACGGTACTCACAGCGAATTGGGCACCAGTTTTCATTATCATAGAGGCTGTGTGGCCTCGTGGTCGGCCGCGCGCTGCGACCCTCTGATATTAGCGATGATGATGCGGATGTTTAGTGGTCGGAATGGTCAGTAAGAAAGAAGACTATAAGGGTAAAGAAAAGGTGACCAGTGTGATGTCTAGTTTCCTGCAATGAAACAGATTGCAGATGAATTGAGGTACCACAGAGAGCGAGGCAAACAGAAAGGCAGAGACGACAGTAAAAAGATGACATAGTTCACAACATCCCCAAGCTGAGGCTTTACGAGGTGGTAACCTGAGACCTGCTGAAGAGAACTGAGAATATGTTCGAAAGGGTCGTCCTAACTGCGTATTTTTCGTAGTTTCAGTACAGCAACATCCTCTAGGTGTAACTTAGTGAGAGAGTTGTACCTGCGTAACATAAGGCTGTTAACCCTCCAGCGACGGGATTTTTTTCTTTGGACGTCGGTTCATTTGGTGCTTTGGCTATTGCTGTGGATAGCTTCAGAGCATTTCGTGACGGACCGAACCGCAATCGGCCAAGCACCAATACGCCATTCAATAGACGATTAGCAGAAGCAGTGCAACGACTTGATCGTTG